CGTGGTGTCCGCCTCCCGGTTTTGTCCCTTTGACCTTCCTCTGTGGGTAGTTAGCTCCGGGGAGCCGACGGGGCTCCCCCCAGAAAACCAGCGTTGAATGTAATGAAACGCCATTTTCTGGGTGAGACCCGGAGGCTCCCCGGCAACCCTCCCTCCCTCCGGTCGGCGTTTTTCGCGTGTTTTGACATCCAGCCTCAGAACTGATGGGTGGATAGCCGGCGTGGGAGGTCTGGGGCTCCCCCTTCCCCCTCCCGGGGAGGGGGGAGCTGCGCAGACAGCGGCGCGGTGACGTATGACGTCATACTAGTTTCCGTGTTTTCTGTTGAAGAGTTCTATTCACTAGTTCGGCTTAGGTAGCAATTTTCACCAGAATAGGGGTTTGTTTTGGAATGCTTACCTTTCTGGATGCTTGACCCGGTCGATGGCAGACATAGAATGCTTCCAACCACACGGGGGTTTCTATAGGCCATTGCTCCCCTTGCCTCTCTGAGGGGGCCAGGTTCTGGCTCGTGGTCCCCGGTAGGCCCTAGAACTCCATACACATGACTGATGCCAAAGTCTGACATTAGCATATCAGCCGGTAAAGCTCCGGGGAGCCTCCGGGTCTCACCCAGAAAATGGCGTTTCATTACATTCAACGCTGGTTTTTTGTTGCATACTTATATTTGAAAGAGTATTTTTTTTATTTAGCTTGCCTTGAAGCTTAGAAATAAAATTTGAAATAGAATGTCATGTGTAATACAACTCCCTTTTCTGGGGTTGCCTCAGGAGATTCTTTAGTTTATTCTCTGGTCCTTACTGTGCGGGGCAATAACAATGCCACTTATCCATGGAGACTTGCCTCCTGCCATGGACAAGGGCCCATGCAAAATCGCCGTTGACCCTCTACATTCTATGAGGCCTATGAGACAAGTAGCATATAATGATCGATGATGAACCCATTACTAGGCAATTGCCTTAATTCAATGAAAAATGCCAAAACACCTGTAATTCCTCCAAGAAATGTTATGGTGAGGTACTGAACTACCAAAACAAATATCTGACAACTACTAAACAGCTTGTTGATCAACTGTAGAGAATTTTGGGAAGTCTTTTTATTCTCGCTGCATAGCCTAGGGCTGCCAGTTCACTGTCGGCCCAGCCAAGCACCCACCCATCACTCGCCAGCCGCTGGTGCATTGTTCTGACCCAGGAAAGACAGGGTGGGACTGGGGAGCTACTGAGGTAAGCCCAGAAAGTTTCATTTCATTACACTTGGTGCTTTATTTGTGGGCCTCACTTCAATAGCTTTCCTAGCTGCTTCACAGTAGAGCTTCAAATAGAAACTGCCTAAAGACAAAAGAAACAAGGATAATGAATACAAAAAGCATGATGAGACTTAATCATAACAGAAGATGATGGATATGCAGGACCTAGACAAATGGTGGCCGAGATAACCATTGTGACACCTGGCCCAGCTCTACTCTCTGGCACCTATGACTAACTAGAGCTGCAAGAAAGCAGCAGCAAGTACCCCAGATGACCACTAGAACCCTCTGGGACTTAAAATATGCCACTACAGTAACATGCCGCACAGCAGGAACACGTGGGGTAGGAAACAACCTGATAAATCTGGACTGTTACTTTTTGGACAAAGCAATGAAATGTAGGCTTCAGAACAAAGGAATCCCAAGGTTTTCTGCAAAGAAGCTTTAGCTGTCCAAAGAAAGTATCAAATTTCTGCCACCAGACAAATGGGAAGGTGAATTTAACTGCTAATGATGGAATGTTGACATCATCAGTGTGTAATTTCTCTGTACAGTATCTGAAGTTGGAGTGTATGGTGGATGAACTATGTTTACATATAATCTACATTATATGTTAAATGTTTTACATACATCATATGTAAAATTTGGACTGTTTCAGTAGAGGCTGCCAGACTTCCTGTGATTTAAGTAGAAATCGTGTTGTGTAAATATTTTATCAAGTCAGGGTGGTCCAGTGATTAGCGGCAGTGGCTGGGAGAGTCTTGGTCGCGGGTTCGAGTCGCCTCAGAGCTCCAGTTTATTTTCTCATTAATATATATCACACTAGAGTGATTTCTCTCTATATCATGCATTATCATGTCAACTCCTGGCTCCATGATTTGTGTACTGTATTTTTTTTGGTTGTTTCTTGAGTCCTTTTTTGGAGTTAGTCAGTCCCCTTTCCTCAAGGTTATGGTTGGGTTTCTTTTCTTCACCTCCATTGCACCCTTGTGGAGTGGGTGGCTTCAAGCATAACAGAGTCGTTCACATCTCTTCATTGGACGTGTTGTCTCTTAGTCCCAATATGGGATTTGGTAGATCTCTGCTTCATCCCCAATCTTCTGGAGTTGAAGGGGTTCATCCCCTGCCCCACTTGCTGTGTGACCACTCTAGCCCAGGCTCACCTCGTATTGGAGGTTGGGGCTTGGTTAGTTTCTCTGTTCCTCAAGGATGCTTATTGCACATCCACATACATCTAAGGTTCAGAGATTCGTCTCTGGGGGGGTTAGTGGTGTGGCCTAGCTCGACAACTGGCTGGTTGTCATTCAGTCAGTCGGCATTTTTGCTAGCCAAGGATTTCGCTCTTTCCCAGCTCGCTGGGTTTGGGTTACTGTTAACCTGGCGAAAATCCCAGTAAATTCCATCCTAATGTTGGATTTGGTTGGGAATCGTGTGGAACTCTGTCAGTGTCACTGTCTCTTCATCTGGTGTCTTTGTCCTGGCAGCATCGTCACTGCCTTCTGGTGTCGAGTCAGCCCTTGGTGACTTGGTGTTAGCTTGAGCAGTTGTGCAGGAAATTTACATGTGTGGTCTTCCTGCTGGGCAGGGCGTGACTTCGATGGTTTCTTGGATTCTACCCCCCTCTCACTGCTGGTGCAACTGTTGGGTTCGGGCTCCAGTTGTCCTTCATCAGCTGTTGATTTGCTGGCTTCCTCTTTGGAGATTCGGGGTTTGATGCCTTCCTCTCGTCACGCAAACTGTTTATGGATGAGTGGGCTCTAGGCTGGGGCATCATGATCAGTACTCACCAGGCCAGGCATGGTCATTGATTGGGTCCATTCTGTCAGGCACACAGTATGGTGCATGAATTTGCAACTGTGTGGCATGCCATGAGGAGGATTCGGATTCCTCTTGGTTCCATGGTTTGGCTTCAATCAACTGTTCTCTAGTGGTTCATTACTTGAACTGTAGGGGGGATCCCTTTGGTCCCTTGCACTTTGGAATTGGTTGATGTAGGTTGCACGTCTACAGGATTTTCAGGGCTAGGTTTCTCCATGCTGTTCAAGCAACTTGAACATATTGTTCTGTTCTCTTACAAATTGTTGCTTTTTACTCGTATGCACACTCAAGCTAAATATTGATGTAATTCAAAATTAAATTGGCTCACGAAAGTGATGTATTGTCCTGTTTTCAGTTTTGGGTCCTCTGGCTTGGGCTGTTAGGTTAGGAGAGGAAACTTTTAATTAATGGTTTTCATGATGTTTTGAAACCTTAGGAGAACTTCCTGCCCTCCTAACCTACCAGAGTACCCTTGACTTGCTGTTTTGGAAACAAAATTCCAAAATTTAATTGGGAAATAAATTTCCATTTTGAATTACGTCAATATTTGGCCGTAGTGCATACCGGCGAAAAGTGACGCAATATGTAAGAGGACAGGTTGGTTCATGTCCCGGAAGTGTCCAACATTCTTGCAAACAGTCTTTCACTTCTGTCCCATCTCCACCGAGCCATGCAGACTATTGATGCTGCTTCCTCTCGGTTGTCTTTTGCGAGACTTTCAGGCTTGGATCTCATTGCACTGGCTTGGAAATTGCTCTTTCCTTTCTACTTGGCTCTCTTTTCCTGATTGTGAGGCCTATGCAGTGGATGATTTTCAGCTGGGTTGGTCTTTGTGGGAGTTTCTTTATCTCTTTTCCTTGATCCTGCTGCTGTTCCAGGTTCTGGCCAGGTTGGAGTCCTGCCAGGGGATTGTGGTCCTTCTGGTTCCTTGATGGCTGACTCGGCCTTGGTTTCAGATGCTGCTGTATATGGCAAGCAGGTGGTGGAATTGACAGTGATAGACAAAACCGTTTGTCTTTCTAGTGTCAGTACATTATGTGGTTGCTTTGCGTTCTTTTCACCACTTTCTCTTCCATCGCTGTGTCCAACCACTTGGGCTGGACGGTAGAGCAACAGTCTTGCTTCATGCAGGTCGATGTTCAATCCCCGACCGTCCACAAGTGGTTGGACACCATTCCTTCCCCCTCTCGTCCCATCCCAAATCCTTATACTGACCCTTTCCCTGTGCTATAGAGTTGTAATGGCTTGGTGCTTTCCCCCCCTGATAATTCCCTCTCTCTCTCTCTCTCTCTCCCATCGCTGTGTGGGGCTTTTGTTCCCTCCATGGTGATTTTTCCTTCCTTGATATCTGTGGTTTTTCTTCTTCATGGGTAGTTAGCTTCAGTGATCCACAAGGGGCTTCTCTTGTGGTGCCTCTAATGAAATGCCTCTGGGTGGGGCCCCAGTAGCTCCCTGATTCCCTCCCTCCCTTCCAGGTTCATTAGTGGGTGGGTGTCATCTTCACATCTGCTCCAGAATGTGCTTGAAGGACTGTGGGGACTTGAAGTGACCCCTCACCCACTGAAATGTTGTTAGTGTTAATGAGCTCGCACTAGTTACAAAATATTTAAGAATTTGTTTGCATTGTTTGGGGCCTATATATATATGGCAATTTCAGAGCTTTGGTCTCTTTTTTTTGAACCCAGCAGTGGTCTATTTTCATTTAATGTCTTTCTGGATGCTTTTCTAGTGGGGCAGCAGAGTGTCACCTCTGTGCCACTGTAAAGGGGTTTGGGTCTGGCCTCTGGTAGGTCAAACAGAACTCCTGTGACCTAGAAGTTGAGCCATCTCGGCAAGATAGCTCCAGCATCCAGAAAGAGGTATATCATTACATTTTATGCTGGTTTTATATTCTTATCAATGATACATTTTAATGTTCTTATTTGTTATTTACAGGACTGTACTGTGAAGTTCTTTGATGTCACTAACCCACGGAAAGCTGAGAATTTCATCAACACCCCATCCCCTGTGTGGCGTGCACGCTACACGGTAAGTCATCTGTTTATCTATTTAGCGAATTAAGTTTATTTTGCCAAATGCTCCACAATAAAAATAAATTTTTATTTATCTTATTGTAACCATTATCATTAGGACTGAATGTTGGTTCTATGATTACTTGGATAAATTCTAGAAAGCCAACAGTTGTGTGGTTATCATACTGTGAATGAAGTGAAGCATCACGAGTCATCAGAATGGTTTAAAAGTTACACAAAATTTTCTGCCTTTCAATTATCATTTCATACTTCACTCTGCTATATGCACCAAGGCCATTGTTGTTTTGAAGATGTATTTTGTTTATCTGGATCCTTGAGGATATTTATATTTATCAGGCAGCAAATGTCCCTGAAAATTATTGGTTAAAATAATTTTGCAATGTATCACTTTTAATGCTAAAATTGAACAAGATTGTGAAAAAATTATAAAGCAAAAGTTGCAGGTACGAACAGCCTAACCCCATTCACTGTGGCAAGCTTGTACGCTCTTATAATTCATAATACTGTAATTCATTGTGTCAGGGAACAGGCAGCCAGTTCATACATAGACTACTTGTTAGGCTTGTATCAAAATTTTGCCCCCAAAAATGGATTACTAACGTTCCCCAGGATGCAATCCCACAACAAACTGACTAACTCCTAGGTACCTAATTACTGCTAGCTGGACACTGGCATTTGGCGATAGAAAATGCGTCCAACCATTTCTGTCCCGCCCGGGTCTTGAACCGGGAATTGTCGATTATGAGTCGAGAATGAACGCGACTGTACTACCAGGATCCTTTTATGTGGCAGATTTGGTTTTATTAACAAACTGTATCCACTCAATTTCTGGATTTAACAGCCCAACAGTTCTAATACCTGAATATGTGATCAGTAACCAGAGCCTTATTTACAGTCATTGACCTGGTGCCCTCCTGAATGCACTTTTTGTTTTTAATAAGTTACTGTACCAACATTTTAACACCTGCAGGTTTAGTAGAGCTCCAGATTTAACAAGTAGGGTATAGCCTCATATTGATCCTTAAATTGAGTGATTTGAAATGTGTAAGCTGTAATTGTGTAATGTGACTGGTTTAATATTAATGTAGGTGTATGATAGGGTTAGGGTTGTGATGTCATCATGGTTGTTCAATATTCAGTACATGGATATTGTACTATATATTGACTCAATACAACCAGGGACAAATATGTCCCTGGCTTATAACATATCATACGATTTGGCTTCCCATGCCAAACACAACCTAATTGTTCTCATTTCCTTCACATCTTACATGGGCTTAGCACAAGATAAACAGTCATACACACCACATTCTCAACTCTGTTAATCTACATAAAATTCCCATGCATAGCATCTTGAATTGTCACCATGACAATGTCCTGACCTTGGGGTTCTGGAACGTTCCAACTTTGCCTGCCATTGGCGGTAATTAATTCTTACCTCCTAATCCCTTATGACAAATATTCTCAATAACCACAAAACTACATTCATCTAGGTTAATCATGGTGGCAAAACAAATAGAGGAAAAAAGGGTATAGAGCGACACCAACTCTTATAATGGCCGGGTCATATGCTAGACAATAATGGAATCATGACACTATTTGGCCATTTTCATACTAAGATATTGCATTTACAGGCCTTTAAAACTGCATTATAGTACAATAAGTAATGATTGTTGTCTTTATTACTTTTTCAGCCCTTTGGTGAAGGTGTTGTTACAGTGGTGGTACCACAGCTGCGACGTGGTGAAAACTCTCTCTTGCTGTGGTCAGTGACAGAGATGAGCTCACCTGTACATACCTTTGTAGGTCATTCTGATGTAGTGTTGGAGTTTGAGTGGCGTCAAAACACACACAATCCTGGAGAACACCAGTTGGTGACCTGGGCACGTGACCACAGTCTTCGTATTTGGAAAATTGATCAACAGTTACAAAGGGTAAGTTAGGTGACTTGTGATCAACAGTATTGACTAGATAAGAGGTGATGGGCACTTTGTGCTTAGCATCACCCAGCCACTTTCTTAGTTTAGCAGGTTAATCCCCAGAAAAGAAAGTACAGTACTGTACTGTCTTGATACATTTTTCTTAATTTCTTAAATACATTAATCTGCTTCATTTTAATTTTCTCTGTTAATTTTCATGCATATCAATGCCTCCATACTAAAGTGTGTTTGTGTATACATATATTTGTATAATTTCCAGTGTACGAGTCCAGTGTATGTATTTTACCTGAATTTATCCGAGTTTTAAACTGAAGTATTGTCTGGCATTTACGACTTCAGTGAGTAGGCGATTCCAGGAGGTTATAGCCCTGTGGGTGAAAAAGCATCTCCTGTTGTCTGTCCTCTGTCCTACAGTGTGGATTGTTGAGCTTGGCCTGGGAGTCATATCCAATTTCCATTTGTTATTTTTTCTACGAGTACTTTGTATTTGTGAATTGTACTTTGTGAATTGTATTTAGATTTAATGACATGTGGCAAGAGCATACCACCTTGTGTCCAGAATGACACGTAAATTAATTTATAACCTGGCTTTACCTCTCCCAGAAGGGCTACCAACTTGTTCCATCTACAGATAGAGCCCCCTTGAGTTCAGTGACAGAATCTGCTGGATAAACTCTTGCATACATTGACTGTTGTGGCCTAAACTTCTCAGCGTGCATAATGAAGTAATTTGGTCTCCTCTAATACTGAACGTCTTTTGTGTTATGAATTAAAGACAGGAAATTTAATTGTTAAATTTTTGCTTTAAATTTTATATTTGAACATTGGTAAAGTATGTAAAACAGTGTCTTATTAGTGGATTTAACCTGTGTTGGTTACTTGCAGCTGTGTGGTCATGATGCAGATGATGATGCTGCTTTTGTTGAAAGCACAGACAGTGAATTTGCTAATGAAGCTGCACCTGCTCAGGGTAGGTTGAATACATATTTTTTTATCAGCTTTGTACAGTAGTGAACAGTATTTGAAAAGCAATTATGAAATATGCCATGTAAATGAAGACAAGCATGATTGTATTCCACGGGGTATAATTTAATGTATGGTATATGGGGGTTGGTTAGGGGTATCAAATGGGAACATTATCGTGGCAACAGTCAAAGGTGTACACTTCAAACAATGTGTGCTCCAGTTGGCACGGGTCTATTTTCCACCGATTTATTGTTGCCTTTGGCTCTGCCTGAAGATGCTTGTCTTTTGGGATATGTATGATGGGACAAGCAACATGAATTCTTTCCTTGACTTTCCCAGACATTGATTAAATTTTATTTTGTTAAATTGTAATGGGTTAAAGAATTATTATCGGTGATTGTGTACAACAACGATGACATTTGGTCTTGTACATCTGTGGGATTAATGCTCATAGTTGTCAACAAAATCAACATCATGATTGGTTTATGGCTGGGGAAAATTAAACTTTTTACAAGTGAACAACTCTTCTGCATTCCATGTACATGGCAGGTATATGGTACAATAAGTGATTGTTATTTTACAGGAGAAGCACAGTGTGATGTGGAGAGATTTATAGAAAAGGATGTGAAGGATGCTGAAGAAAATATAATGGACTTGGAGGAGGACACTGAGCTAAGTGAGTCATGCTATGTTGGTACTCAACTTCAGCCATAGGGCCAAATTCTGACCTGAATCTACTGAAGCTGGTATAGGCTAGAGTTAATGAATATATCTTCAATATATCTTTAGACTACAGTTGGCCCCTTGATCTGTACGAGGAATGTGCTCCTGGGAAACATCATTCAAAGGGAATTGAAACAGTGTGTTTCGTCCAGGGGTTGTGATTTCCTTTAATATATTTCTGGCAAGCAACTGTCTCACATCATATGTATCCCCTTATACAGCCAGGTACACAGCCACTTGCTTACTGAGACCCTCTGACACACAATAGCAAACCTGTCTTGCCCATAACATGTGACCTGGACAAAGAATATTTGACTTTAACAACATATACATTCAGCACAATGACATGACGTGGGCAATCTTGATTCTGGTCTCATTTGGTGATTGTAGCTTTTGAAGATGTGAGTTTGATTGTCTTGTACTGTGAGTACAAAGTTGCCTTATGCTTTGGTCTAGCCCAAAACTAGCAGTCTGATGTAGGCATCAGGGGACAAGTTGATCAGGTACAGATAGGTGACGTTTTAACAATTTCCTTCTTTAGAGAAGATAGAGATATGTTGGTAATTTATATTTAGAAGGAAGATGCTGAGCAGTCTTGTCTTAAATGTTTATATCTTTGAGTACTTATTACACACATTTTTTAAGGGGCTTTTTTCTTGGCTATGCTACCATGCCTTCTGGTCTTGTAAGGCATTATTTGTGTGTGGAGGTTTGGTACATGTCCCTCTGTGCTAGATTTTTCTTCACATTACTGAATAAACATAAAATAGATAAAAGTGCAAGCATGTGTTAAAGTAGTGTAGAACAGGACATTGAAATATTTGAGACTGGTGTTACTTGAGCATGTCACAAGATGTTTTAAAGAAAGGAGTGTGAGAGAGTATAATTACCTAAGGTGTAGTTACAGGGTGTGAGTTATGCTCGTGGTGTCCCGTCTCCCCAGCACTCTGTCACATGACGCTTTGAAACTACTGATGGTTTTGGCCTCCGCCACCTTCTCACTTAACTTGTTCAAACTGTCTACTACACCATTTGCAAAAGGGAATTTTCTAATAGTTTTTCTTTAACTTTAATTAACTAAAATCTATGATTTCTTGTTAGTTCCAAGTCTCAAAAATTCTTCTTTATAAATTTTGTCAATTCCTGTTACTATTTTGTACATAATCATCATAACACCTCGGTTTTTTCTGTCTTCAAGCTTTAGCATACTTAATGCCTCTAACCTCTCCTTATAGCTCTTGTCCTTCAGTTCTAGAAGGCATTTAGTTGCATGTCTTTGCAACTTTTCCAGTTTGTCGATGTGCTTCTCAAGATATGGGCACCATACAACTTATTGTATTACTTATGGGCATATTACTACTAGTCTCAAAATGGTCATGAACAATTTTCTTTGTATTTCACCATCCATGTATTTAAAAGCAATTCTGAAATTGGAAAGCGTAGCATTGGCCCCTTCTTGGATGTTCTTTATGTAGCCTCAGGTGACAGTTTTCTGTTAAAAACCATTTCTAAATCTTGTTCTTTATTAGAATTTTTTAAAGCTTTTTCACATAATTTGTAGGTTGTCTGTGGCCTATTTTCTCCTATTCCACAATCCAAAACATGCCACTTATATATCTTAAATTTCATTTGCCAAGTTGCGCTCCATATACTTATTTTGTCCAGGTCTTCTTGAAGGGCATTACAATCATCTAAGTTTCTTATCTTTCCTAGTATCTTAGCATTTTCAGCAAACATGTTCATATATATATCTATATTCCTTTTGAGAGATTGTTTAAGTAGACAATGAACATTACTGGTGCAAGAACTTTGGTACAGGGGTACCTCAGTTTACGAATTTAATCCATTCCTAGAGATGGTTCATAACCCAAAAATTTGTAAACTGAAGGGAATTTCCCCATAAGAAATAATGGGAAATAAATTAATCCGCTCCAGACTCCCCCCCAAAAATTAACTTCAAAGTAAATTTTAAGCCTTATTCACCCAAATCTTAAGTACAAAAGTATGTACAAGTTATTACTTACCTTTACTGATGGCTCCTTTTGGCGTATGGAAGACGGTGAGGAGGGGAGGGAGGAGGAGAGGTGTTACTGTTTGGAAGGGGAGTCCCCTTCCATTATAACATCAGACAGTGAGGACTTTTCTGGTTACGGGCTATTCATGCCCGTGCCACCTTTTGGGTGGCTTAATCTTTATCAATCAATCAATCACTTCTCTGGGGTATACACTCTGGCACATTTGCCTGCATACCACTAGGACCTGCTTGTGGCTCACTGCTTGATTTTCTCACTAGAAATCGTTCCATTGAAGATTGTTTTTCCCTTCTTTGTAACACTTGTCTGTAGTGAGGCATCACATTGTCATTAATAAGATCAATGCAACAGCCTGCTACAGCTTTATCTGGGTGATTCTTTTCAGCAAAACTTTGCAGTTCTTTCCATACTGCACACATTTTCTTAATTAAGGAGGAAGGGACATTCTCTCTGCCTCATCCTCCTCCCCTGAAGATTTGTTGTACTGCTTAGCTAGTTCAACAACACGTGTACCTTTTTCATACTGTATTTACGAATGATCTCTTGTTTTTCCTCTATGGTCATTCTCACATGCGTTTTCTTGCCTTGAAGCTTACCACTAGCTTTCTTGGGACCCACGGCGAGATATATAATAACAAATTTTATGTTCAAGTAGCCAAAAATCCCCCCAAAAATGTAAATCTTTGCAAAGAATTTAGGCGTGATAGTCACTAGGCGGGAGGCACTGGTAAACTGACGGCGATCGCCGTGCCACCACACGCAAGGTCGGCCATACACTTACTCGTTTCCCGAGGTAAAGTTCGTAACCCGATTCAAATTTTCTGAAGAAATCGGACTCCTAACCCGAAAAGTTCGTAAAGAGGGGCATTCGTAAGCTGAGGTACCACTGTACTTCACTAGTGACATTTCTTGCAGTCAGACACATTGCCTCTGATCACTGTCCTCATTTTTGTCAGTTAAAAATTTGTCTGACAGAAGCCTCCTGTCACTCCTCTAGCATGTTCCAGTTTCTAGAACACCTTCTTGTGTAGGACTTGTCGAAAGCATTTTTTAGGGCCAGATAAATGCAGTGAACCCAACCATTTCTTTCCTGTAAAATTTTTGTGGCTTTATCATAGAAACTAAGTACTGTAGATTCGTTACACAGGATCTTCCAAATTAAAGAAACATACTGTCTGTCTGTTATTATATAATTGTTCTCAGGTGTTCTACCCATTTGGTTTTAATAATTTTTTCTGATAATTTGACTACAGTACTACACTTTTCAGTGATACAGGTCTATAATTAAGAGGGTCTTCCCTGCTGCCACTTTTGTAGATTGGAAGTGTTAGCCTTGTTGCATGTATATGTGCCAGGACTCCTGTACATAGTGATGACTGAAAAATCAATTAAAGCAGAATGCTGAGCTCATGTGCGTATTTTCTCAGAACCCATGGTGAAGCTCCATCTGTGTCAACTGCTTTGTTTGCACAGGAAAGATATACTGTAAATAATTTTGTGATGATGAGCATACAAAATTAAAATATTTGTTGAAATTCCAGTTATTGCTCTATTATTATGGGACTAGTTTTAAAATACGCACCTTTATATTGCGAGCAATTTGATACCAAAATGAAAGACGTAACACGAATATTTGTTATCAAACTGAACGAGTATACACATTAGGTTGCGGTGTGCCAATTGGTGCTCGTTTACGGGTAACTTTAGGTTTTCCTGCGGGAAATCACGTTGGGCTTTTGTACATTATATGCATATACACGTACAGGGAATTTAATTGCGAACACAATGATACCAAAACTAACGATGTAGCACGAGAATTAAGGTGAGAAAACTGAAACGAGTAAACACATTTTACTGATTTTGTGCGCTCACGGGTAACTTTTGCCGACTTTAGGCTTTGCTGTTGGGAGTCACACCAGGCTTTTGGACATTATATGCATATACACTTGTAGTGAATTCTATTGCGAACACAATGATACCAAAACGAACGACTTAGCATGAGAATTAAGGTGAGAAAACTGAAACGAGTATACACATTTCTGTGTCGTTGCGTGCTCGCCCGCACGCCGGGGGCATGGCCTCTAAGTTGGCAGCGCGCATGCCCGGCATGCGATAGTGTTATTATGCAAACCTAGGTTGTGTTGGTAGTCCTCCTTCTCTTGTTGCCCTTGAGGTTTCATACCTGCTACTGATGGTCAGTTTGCCTGCTACCTGACAGGGTTCGACTGGCTTAGCTAGCCCCAGTGCCTGGGCTTCCGGGAGGGCTAAATCACCCTATGGGCCTTGTAAACTCCTGTGGGCTCAGTCATACAATGGCTACTTCTTCTGAGCCTGCTCTTGCCTTGTGCGAAGTTGAAGGTTGTTCGGTGCCCCTGCCTTAGGGAAACGATTATCCATACTTCCTCCGTGTTGCTGCCTGTTGGGTCGGGGACGCCACCGACCCAGAGTCTTGCAAGCCTTGTTCCCCGCTTGTACTTCATCTAACTCATTCCTTGTCTGTTGATCTCAAGGATCAGGGAGTGGCTGCATTGCATGCTCAATTCTCTTTACTGCAATGAACCAGGTTGGTTGCCCAGTTGGAGGCACCGGAGCTGCCCCACTTGGGTTTTAGGGACCAGGATTTGAGGGCGTTGGTTGCTTCAACCTTGGTTCCTTCCGCACCCTTGCTTCCTTCTGAGGTGGGCCTGCTTCTTTTCCCCACCGCTTTTGCTTCGATGTTTGGTAAAAAAAAAAAAAAAAAAAAAAAAAAAATATATATGCATATAATGACTTTACTGTGGGGGAGCCCCTTTGGCTCCCTGAAGCTATTGGACTGATATTGGCTAATATTAGTACAAGGCTTCAGTCATATGGAGTTATCATGCCTACTTAAGACCACTAGCCAGAACATGTTCCCCTCAGAGTGGCACAGGGAGCAATGGCCTATGAAACTCTCATGTATAAAAGTATTCATGTCTGCCATCGACAGAGGTTGAGCACCCAGAAAGGTAGATGCTCCGAAACAGACCATCATGGTAAAAAAATTACAACCCGAGACCAATCAGAGGCTAGAAACTCCCCCAACGAAAAATGAAAGTTAACAAGCAACATGTCATCACACTGTATGGCGCTTGTTTGGGCCTTCCCCTCCCATTTCCCCCCCTTGCCTTTCCCCCCTTCCCCTCCTCTTTCCCCCCCTCCCACCTCCCCTTTCCCCTCTCCCCCTACCCCCTCCCCCCTCCCCTTTCCCCCCTCCCCTTTCCCCCCTCCCCTTTCCCCCCTCCCCTTTACCCCCTCCCCTTTACCCCCTCCTCCCTCCACCCCTTCCACCCCTTTACCCCTCCACTCCTCCACCCCCCCTCTCCATCCCTCTCCACCCCTTTACCCCTCCACCCCCATCCACCCCTTCACCCCTCCACCCCCCTCCACCCCACTCTATCCCTTCACCTCATGTTGTTGTGGACTCAGTTTGCTCCTCACCGGGCAGATTATCATCATTTCTCTCCTCTACAGTTGTGATAATTTTCTTTAACTCTTGTCCTTATAGCTGAGCCCTTTCAATTCTGAAACTATTCTAGTTGCAAGCCTCAGACCTTTCTCAAGCTTATTTACATAAATTCTTCTCGTGTTGTGGATTCCATGCTAGTGCTGCATACTCAAATAATGGTCTCACATAGTCAGTGTGTATGGACTTGAAGCATTCTTGCTTAGATTCTTAAATGACGTTCTTGTCTGCCCACTTCTCATGTGCTGCTGAAATGCTGTTCACATCAGCTTCTGGTGTTAGTGTTGAGATTGTCTGCTCCTAGGACTTTGTCTATTATTGTTTCTTGTAATTGCCTTCTTCTTATGGTATAGTTAAATACTGGTCACCTATCTCCCTTACTCATTTTCATTACACTCGTTTGGATTGAATTCCAGCATACATTTATATGGCCACTCCTGAAGTGTGTTAAAGTCGCCTTGCAGCACCTGACAGTCTTCTTCAGTTCACACTCTCCTGATTGATTTAGTATCATATGCAAACGTCAACATGTGTGAGCTCACTTCCTCTGGGAGGTTATTTAAATTAAAAAGAGCAATGGTCCTAGGACAGAGCCTTACGGAACACCACTGTGTGAAAGTTTTTAGTTGTGCAGAGCTAGGAATACAAGTGTGTGAGTAGTGCAGAGTAAGGGATACAAGTGTGTGAGTAGTGCAGAGCTAGGAATACAAGTGTGTGAGTAGTGCAGAGTAAGGGATACAAGTGTGTGAGTAGTGCAGAGCAAGGGACACAAGTGTGTGAGTAGTACAGAGCAAGGGATACAAGTGTGTGAGTAGTGCAGAGTAAGGGATACAAGTGTGTGAGTAGTGCAGAGTAAGGGACACAAGTGTGTGAGTAGTGCAGAGTAAGGGATACAAGTGTGTGAGTAGTGCAGAGCAAGGGATACAAGTGTGTGAGTAGTGCAGAGCAAGGGACACAAGTGTGTGAGTAGTGCAGAGTAAGGGATACAAGTGTGTGAGTAGTGCAGAGCAAGGGATACAAGTGTGTGAGTAGTGCAGAGCAAGAGATACAAGTGTGTGAGTAGTGCAGAGCAAGGGATACAAGTGTGTGAGTAGTGCAGAGTAAGGGATACAAGTGTGTGAGTAGTGCAGAGCAAGGGATACAAGTGTGTGAGTAGTGCAGAGCAAGAGATACAAGTGTGTGAGTAGTGCAGAGCATTCTTGTTTAAACAGGTTGTGCCTTCTCATCTTCATCTCTTATATTTCAGTTTCATCAAAGAGGTTACTTATGTCACTTGAATGCACTTAGATTTATTTGTACGGAAACAGTCCTTTTAATTATTAGCTTAAAAAAGTGATCCTATTGGCTTCCTTTATTGAATTACTGTACCTGTTAAATAATGGAGGTAACACAATTTTTAGCTATAAGACATTATGAAAATCTAGTCTAGTTCAGAATGTTTCTAATATATGTATATTTTGCATCGCCTTCAGAGTGCACACCGAAATCTGCAGAAAACACACAAGACATTTCTCATGAAAATTCTCCAGAGGTTGGGTCAGCAGGTGATGCCCCACAGATGTCCACCAATGAAGTAGCTCAAACTATGAATGATGAGGCCACTGGAGAGTCTGTGACAGTTAATGCAACCATCTTACAACCAGTCGCAAGTTTTTCTAACAGTATGTATTTACAGTGCTCTGTTAAATAATATATTATTACTGTATCACATTTAATATTACTACTACTGTATATTATATTTAGTATTCTATAAGTTCTTAATATGTTCATTCCAAATGTAATGCATTTATTTTATTTTATAGTTTTCACGTGTTCACACTTGCTTAATCACTGAACTGCGCCAACCGAGTATTCTTGGTCAGTGGGAAACTGCGCCATCTGAGAAAACTCTCTTTGATTTTTTCGTACCTATTCAAAATGTGTGCGCGGTTGGTTGTGTACGAAATGGACTCTTAGGGCCTCCAGTGAGAGGCAGCCGTCTTGGAAAAAATTCCCAAAATGCCCTAGAGCTGCTGGCTGGGTTAGTACTGAGTGAGCAACCATGGATGGCACACGCGCCTCTGGCTCCCAATCACCTGTCCGACGCCGTGTTGAACGCTCGTACTGTGTCGGTGAATTTCAAACCTTATTGTTTGAAGAACATTAGGGTCATAATATTGGTGAAGCTAGACGCAATAAGGAACTAACACAAAGGTCGGATGCAAGTGATACAGCACCTATGAGGACGATACAGCAAGCGTATCCAGTTGTAGCTCTGAGTGCCACCCATGCCCACCTATGCCATCTCCAATTTATATAGATGATACATAGATGAATCGTTTTCTGCGTTCAGTGATGATGCATCTGATACAAGCAGCATAGATAAACAGTGTTAGCGGTTTCCATGGTGGTGTTTTCCATAGATATTTTCAAGAATAGCTGAATCTCTTCTTGACTGACTGACACTCTTAGAGGCTGGCTGAATCTCTTCCAGACTGCCTAAATCTCTTCCAGACTGACAGACACTCTTGAGGGTAGCTGAATCTCTTCCTGTGTGGGACCTTAAAAAGCGATCTTTTCAAGTCTACCTTACAATTTGATCTTTTCCTATAATCTTTTCAAGACTACCTTACGCTTTACAAGCTTGGCTACATACCACCTATGGGTACTTAAGGGTGTACAGGTCAAGGGTGTAAGTGAGTGCATTATTTGCAAGCACACAGAATGAAGAAACAGGAAGCAAAAATCTATCTGTACCTGGTGCAACGAGAGCGAAGTCGTGCTGTGTACCATGGACTACTTCGTTGATTATTACTCACTTCCGAAGTACTGAGTGTGTAATATAGTGTGTTACTGTGTAAATAGTGTGTGAAACTGTACATATTGTAATTTTAGTGAATTTTTAACAAGTAATATTGCGACAATAAGTATTTAAGTATTTATTGTGGACACATTACCGACACATTTATCACAGTTCCATGAACATTATGAATGTTCTACTGTATACATATTGTAAAGGTCACAAATATGCATCATATATGATAAAAAAAACAAATAAAACTGCATTGGAAATACATAGAACAAATAATTGAAAATATATTTGTGACAACACGCGGTGCTTGAATGGCCCGCGTGACCATGTCTGGGAGCTTCCCACACGGGCGACCAGCCCCTGATGACATCAGAACGCACCTTGTCCATGTCCCCACAGCCAAAGTAAATGGAATTTGGTATTTTTACATAATGTTCAGAGAAGGGAATTTATAATTTTACAAAGAAAAAAATAATTTTTTGGGAACACTTGATTTCTTGAGCACAGGGGGAATTTCACAATAAACTCGGCGCATCACAGTGGTTAAGCAATGTTTGTCTTGTTCACAAATTCTCATTTCGTGGCACAAGCAAGTTACAACCATTAAAACTAATAGATGACAAACCAATGTGGTAATCTGCAAATTATTCTAGTGCTACTTCAAATAACTTCAGTATTATTAGGCTTTTGAAATGTGTGGAAAAGATTGTGAGATAGGAAATTTCTTGGTGGAAATCATGTAGAAAAAGAAAATTTGGATTTATTTCAGTTGCACATCACTAAATTCATTTGTGTAATCAACATTAATTTTTGTGGTGACATTGAGTTTCTTTTCCTCAGCCATGCCAACACCATGCAGAACAAACACTGCTGTTGTGGGCTCGTCCTCCACGCTACCTTCTGGCAGTGTATCCGTGGGCCAGCCCATGAGCCTGCAGCAGGAATTTTCTTTGCTTAATACTTCCCTTGATAACAGTCAAGTAAACTCCGTGGAGGTGGTGGTAAGTATATTTATTTACATACATTACTAAGAATTATTATTTACATGAGTTTTTACAAAATCTAGTTGATGAACTAAAGAAGATTCAAAATAATTGGATACACTGGCAAAATAATGCCTTAGCATATAGTACCTTATACCTTGATGAGGTTCTAATAGGGGCCAGGCTTCTAAGAGCTTGGTCCAAGAGGCTGCCGGTTGGAGCGACCCGCAAGCCCACATATCCACTATAATAGCCCGGTTTGTCTAGCACTTCTTGAAGAAAACTATCTAGTTTTCTCTTGTAGACATCCACTTTTGTTCCTGCAATATTTGTTATGCTCGCTGGGAGGTTGTTGAACAGCCATGGACCTCTGATAATCATAGAGTTTTCTGATTGTTTCTATGGTATGTCTGTTCTGCACTTGCTCTATTCTGCATTTCCTTACATACTGTTCACTCCAGTATATTGTTACTTTACACTGTAAATTTGGGACCTGGCCCACCAGTATTTTCCATGTATATATTATTTGATACCTCTCTTCTCTCCTTTTAAGAAAGTTCATTTGAAGAGCTTTGAGACAATCCCAATTGTTCAGGTGGTTTATTGTGTATGTATGCCATATATATTCTCTGTATTCCTTTATTTCAGCAATCTCTCCTGCTCTGAAGGGGGAAGTGAGTATCGATCAGTACTCAAGACGGGACAGCACAAGTGATTTGAATAGCACAACCATTGTGATGGGGTCCTTGGATTTGAGGGTCCTTGGATTTGAAGGTTCTCATAATCCATCCTATCTTTTTTTTTTTTTTGGCTGACGCTATATTTGCTTGGTTATACTCCATAAACGTTATGTCGTCAGACATCATCATGCCCAGATCCTTAACATATTTGCTTTCCTGCTATGGGCAGATTTGATTGTTTTGTACCCTGTATATTGTTTAAGGTCCTCATTTTTACTGTACTGTACTTAATTTGTATGGTAATTTAGACCTGGAATTTATCACTTTTAAGCATCATGATATTTTCTGATGCCAGTTGAAAACTTTATTAATATCTGCTTGGATTTTTTCAATGTCTTCAACATAAGTATTGTTCCTACTGATTTTTTGTGTCATCTGCAAAAGATGACACATTGATTTGACTTGTAGTTTTGTCTATATCTGATATAAGAATAAGGAAAAGCAGTGGTGCAAGGACTGTGTCCTGAGGAAAACCTTTCACTGTGCATGGACTTGATTTTATCGCATTAATTGTTACTCTTTTCGTTCTCTTTGACAGAAAATTTAATATCCACCGTCCTACTTTACATGTTATTCTTATTGCCTGTTATTTGTTAATTGTTAACTGTTAATTACAAAAGAATAATAGTTGATTTATAAAATAGCTAAGTACTCATATTAGGGCCAAATGGCTTGTCCACAAGAAATTGACTTTATTTTGTGAGAAGGGAAGGGAAAGGTATTGAAGGGATAAATGGTAATGCTGCATCAAATGTCTGTCCTAACAAAACAATATTTCATACAAATTTGTCATTTCTTTGGTAAACTGACTGGCCAGTCAGTTGAGTTCTTATCAGTAGACTTAAATTTTTAGAGGTGCCTTGATGGCATGTTATATCTAGCCATACCCCCCCTATATCTAGCCATACCTCCCTATCTATATCTTCCCCCCCCCCCCCCACACAAAACAAACCTCTATTCTGGTTAACAACAAAAATCGTCAAACGAGTGGACAGAACTCTTTCCCCCCCCCCCAAAATACTGTAGCTCCATACATGAGTCATAACCCTTGGAGTCTGTAATAGCTCACCGGAGACTGGAGCCAGAATGTGGACCCCTCAGAGGCATAGGGAGCAGGGAACCAATATGGTCACCCTTACCAAGGAAACATCCAGAAAAGAGGCAAAGCAAAAGACAACTGCGCGGTAATACCGACATGTTGGGTGAATATTACCCTCTAAGTCATGATCTGCAATGTTTGGGTTCAGTGGTCCTCTTATTTATTTAAAGCCCCATCTTTTGGATTTATCTCGTTTATTTTGTAATGATGAGGCTCCACAGGTGGAGGCTGCTTTAGGTTTGTCGGTTTTTATGTTTGTGGCTTGGTGCTCAAGTTGTTGCCCCAGAGTCAGCCCATTTTGGATTGCAGTTTTGGAATTGTTTTTGAGTTTCTACTGGTGCTATTTTTGTTGCTGTTCCTTCCATTTTCTGTTTGGCATAGTTTGATGTACCCCTTGCTCTGGAATGTTGTCTTTTTTTTTCTGGGGCATCCAGAGGCTCCCCAGAGCTTACCAGGCTGATACGTATGTATTAGACTGTGGCATCAGTTGATTGGAGTTTTTGCCTACTGGGGACCACAAGCCAGAACCTGGCCCCTTCAGGATGCAAGAGAAGGGGGGGAGGGAAGGGGCCAGGGAAGCCATGGTGCAATAATCCTTCCTGGAAGGGTCGTGCCAAGGTTTAGGGCTTCTCTAGTTGAGGCAGTTTCAGAACTGGCGCTTCCTTTGGAACCAGTGGCGTCGGGTTGGCACAGTGGTTGCTCTACTTGTCAGTCGGCTTCTCGTAATTGGTGTTGGCCACACACCGCCCTGTTATTTGGGTGGTGTGAGGGGGGAGGAGGCTCGCACTGTTTGCTCATGCCTGGTCCCACGATTCGTGGGTGTTTCGGGTCGTCTTCCACGGGTTTCTGCTCTTTCGGTCATGGTGGTCGGTTTGTTCGTTTACAGCCATCTCCTTTTCTGGCGAAGAATGAGACTGCTGCTTTCTGGAGGGTACCTTGGGTTGTTGATGCTTGGTTGGTACGGCAAGGGGTGCATCATGTTATGTGTCCGGTTGTAGCTCTTCGCCGTTACTTGCAAGCCACGGCCTCCATGGCAGGGGACGCGCTTTGAGTTGACACGGTTTCCCTTCTTTCCTGTTCCAAGGTGCAGGACTCCCAGGTCAAACCGCAGAATTATTTGGTCCAGCCAGCCAGCCTGTGGCTGGACCGTTCTGGTGGGCCCCACGACGTTCGTAAAATTGTGGCTTTGGCTGCGCGGTACCTCATTCATGTTCCCGAACCTTCTCGGGTGTGTGTAGCCTTGAGTTGCAGGTTGCAGCCAGTTGTCTCGACTTTGAGTTGAGGATCAAGTGGCGGCTGCCTCTCGAGTAAATCCCTCTTTTTCCTTTATCTTTGGTTAGGTAGCTCTGGGGAGCCGAAGGGGCTCTTCACAGAAAACCAGCTGTGGAGAACTGCTTTTTCTGGGGGGGGGGAGCCCCTACGGCTCCCCGGAGCTATCCATGGCTGATATGGATACCCTAACTATTTGGCATCAGTCGATGTGAGTGGAGTTCTAGCCTACCAGGGACCACGAGCCAGAACCTGGCCCCCCTCACAGAGGCACGGGGAGCAATGGCCCAATGGTTTGGAGCACATGTGATTTGGAGCATTCTATATCTGTCATCGACCGGGACAGGCACCCAGAACGGTAAGCGCCACAAAACAAACCTCTATTCTGGTTAACAACAAAAATCGTCAAACGAGTGGACAGAACTCTTCCCCCCCCCAAAAAAAAAAAAACGAGCAAACAAGCACGAGCCGCCCCGCATGTCTGAGCAGCTCGCCCCCTTCCCGGGAGGGGAAAGGGGGAGCCCCAGATCCTCGCGCCGGCAATCCTGCCCCAGTTCCTCGGGTGATGGGATCGTGTATAGTCGTGTGGCTCCAGCTCCAGCCTTCTCTCAGTGTTGTTTCCTCTTTTTCAGTGCGGCTCTTACGGTAGTCGTGTGAGCTGGGAGTATTATTCTCAGGTACTTGGGCTGCATGTGCTTAGGGTCTCCTTCCCTGAGTGCCCTGTAACTACTGCCCTTGGGGCTTGGGGTTCTCTTCCACAAGTCGCCTTGGGTCTATCTTTGTTGGCCTTTCGCTGCTTGGTGTTGGGCCGCCCCGAGTGTTTGGGGGGTTTTCCTTCCTTGTTTGCCTTGGGGTAAGTGGTAGTTATCGTACTTTTGGGGCACAGGGTACTGAGTAGCTAGTTTTCACCTATAACAGTGGCCGGTTTTGTTCCCTATGGGTACTTTGTCCACTTGCTTGGTTTTTCTTTTCTTTTTGTTTTTGCCTGGTGGGGGGTTTTGCCTTGTGTTCTCCCACCCTCCTTATATTAGGGTAGTTTTGTGTAGTGGCACCTCCTGCTTTGCCCTCATGAGTGGACATGTCCCGTGGGTTCAGCTTTTAGCAGCTTGCTTGGTAGTTTGGGGTGCCGGTTAGCAGTGCCCTGCCTGGGATAACCCTTAGCAGACCCAGTTTAGGGGCCCTTGAAAACCCCCACGGGGGCTCTCGGGTCTGATGTAGGAGACCCTTGCGTCCACTCTTGCTTTGTGCGAATTTGAGGGTTGCTCTGTCCCCTTGTCTCAGGGTGACACTCATTGTTTCTGCCTCCGTCATGCTGCCTGTTGGGTCGGTGACACATTCGACCTGAGTCCTGTGAGCTGTGTTGCCTGTTTGTGAATCAATTCACCCAGTCTGATGATGATTTGCTTCGGGTGCAGGCAGCTCGCGCGTTGCAGGGTAGGTTTAGGTTGTTGTAATGCACTCGGGTAGTCACTTCCCTGGACGCCCCAAGGCTGCCCCGCTCTGTCTATAGGAACTCGAACTAGGGGGTGTTGGTCGCTTCGGCCTTGGTTCCGTCCACGCCCCCTTGTTCTTCCCTTTCGGTGGTTCATTCGGTCCCCTTTCCCCCTGCTTCCGGTCCCTAAGCGTCTGAGGGCTTTGGGGTCGGGGCAGTGGCAGGGTGGGTTTAGAGGTTTCTGAGACTCGGGCAGTTTCAGGGGTTGCCCTGTCCGGGGTGGCTGTGGAGGCATTCGAGTCTGTCCCTCCTGATGATGCTCCGGGGTCTGTCCAGTGTGCCCCTTCCTTTCCGGCTCTTTTGGCTGCCCTGGTTTTTTCTTGTGAGGCTGGGGCTTTGGAGGACGATTCGGCCCCGGGGCCTGGTGTGGAGGTTCCCGGGGTTGGGGAGGAGCTGACTTGGGGGACCTTGGGCTTCA